GAGAGAGAGAGAGAGTTGTGACATGAGACTTGACGACATTGGATCCAGACTCGACATTGGGATTCAGACATGTTGACGAGGGACTATTTGGGCCTGTGCTGAACACTTGGTGTTGACGACATTCCCATCTTCCCTTCTTCTTCGTCTAACCCCACCTCCTTCGTCTGTGGTTGGGGCTGGCGCAGTCTTCTTGTGTGAAGCGCCAGACCCCTTCACACCATGATGATGATGATGTATGTTCGGGGCTGCATTGCAATATTGATTGTTCGGATCATTGCTATCTAAGTCTTCCGCTGTGCTATCCTATACTTTGTATTGAAAGGTCGGTTCTTGTTCTGGTCTGCACCTATACGGTATGCAACACATACGAGAAGACCATATTCCGGCTAATAAGGCAATATACCCTATGGACAATATGGAAGAGACATTGTCAGATTACTATTGAGAAGAGGCCAATGCACCAGGACGAAGCATGTGGGGCCCTCTACAATTTACTAGAAACAGATCTGTGGGCACAATGGAAATGAGTACACAGACAGATTTACCAATGCCCGGATCTAGAGCAGCAGCTGAAGGCCCGATTCACACAAAGGGTGCTGGGCCAGGGAAAGGTGGCAGCTCTGCGAGGCAACGGACTACAGTTTAAGTGGAGAGGAAGCGGCCACTAAATTGCTTCTCTTTACTAATTTAAGCAGGTTAAGTTTAGGTAGGTGAAGGGAAATCCTATTTAAGGCATTCTGGGATGTAGAAGCATATTTAATGGAGGTTAGGATGCAGAAGTTTAAGGTTAAAAGTTATAGGTGAGCAAGCCTTAGGCCTTGAAGGGCTAAGGGCGTAATAGGAAGAAACAATTGGGATGGAAGGGCAGGAAACTTAGAGGCTGAAGGAAGCGATAGGGGGTATTATGGATCTATAGGGATAAACAGAGCTATTACTCGTTCCTTTCATTTCATTTCTGTTTTGGCCTTACGTTGTCTGGTTTGTGTTTGCTTGTTGCAGTGAATGCGACGCTGGACCCGGGTTCCAGCATAAGCCCACCTGGGTAACCACCCCAGTACATCCCGGGCTGAAAAAGAAAATATAGGCAGGATAAGCTAGGTTTTACGATAGAGGAAAACAGCTTAGCGTGCATAAATTCAACTTAGTGGACTTAGACGACTAGGGTTTATGTAAATAGGGGCTTGGTCTCCACGTCACTAAGGACAGTAGGGTTTAGGGTTTAAGGAGAGCGGACAGAGAGGTGGAGGTGTCGGAGGTAATGGGAAAGACGAGCAACAAGAGGTCGGTTTCCGGGCTTAAAATGAGGATGGGTGGAAAGATAGAAGGCAGGTTCCCTCGTTTTTTGCTATTTTCTCATTTTGTTAATCCAGTTTAGTCTTTGTTCAGGAATAGCATGAAGTTTCTTAGGAGAAGGGGCACTGGACCCGGTTTCCAGTAAGAGCCAAATCTGGGTAATGGCCCCAGTCTTCCGGGTGGAGATGTGGAGGGATTCCCGGCCTCCTTATGCTCCATATATAATAAAGCATGCTATTTCTTAAAAAAAAAAAAAAAAAAAAAAAAGTTCATCAACTTCATCGACAACATTAACAGCAAACTTCGAGCTGTCCTACAACTTATGCACGGCGGTATCTCCTCATTCAAATTCATCCTTCTGTGAAAGCACTCTATCTTCTTCCCTCCCATTCCTCCTTCCCTAACGTCGCATGCTTATCAATTGAAATTTGCAACAGTGAGATGAGCCTGTTTTGTGCCTTGTGGCTTAATCCTGCACACATGTAGCTGTTGATGAACATTAATGAATACCACAACTACTAAAACACCACATCAATAGCTTGCAACTGGAATTCCCATTGGATACACCGAGACTAGAAAGGAAAAAAGATGTCCCTCGGGGGTACATCCGTCAAAATCGGAACAATACAGAGAAGATTACCATGGCCCCTGCGAACAAGGATGACACACAAATTCTCCTTTTGACCATCGCGTCCCGAGACTTCAAAAACTTTTTGAGCGCGGTGATGTCCATACTTGTTTGGAAGGGGTGCCGCAGTCACCTTTTGTGTGATAATTTATATAAACCGCGATATGGTCGAAATTTTCGGGAAAAAAGAAGGAAAGGAAACAAGAAAGAAAACGAAGACGGGGATGTGAAACAATGCGAGTGCGGCAAATGCATTGCCCCCCTCCATCACAGGTGTGACAAGTGGGGTGCTATTAACCCCATGGTTTCTAAGGACATCAACTGCAATGTATAAAATGCATGATTGCAGGGGACTCCTTCACAACATGGCATCGTTGCATTCGAACGACTTTTAGCCTTTTGCCCCATCACAAGCGTGTGTGGCAAGTGGGGCGGTGCTATTGATGTGAACGTCGCCACGGAGGTCGTCAACTCGAATGTGTGATTGCAGAGACTCCTTGACCGACATCTCGTGGTCGAGCTCGAACGACGGACGTCTTATGATGGAGTAGGTCAGCAGGTTTGGTTGCTTCAGCGAAGCGGTAAGTGGGTTGAGTTAAGAGCCCAAAAGTACACACCTGTCTTACTGTTCGAAGCGGTAAGTGGGTTGAGTTAAGAGCCCAAAAGTACACACCTGTCTTATACTGTTCCTGCAGAGTATGTAATTTCTCAAAGCTGCTTATCCGAAGAGGCGAAGGCCAGACACAGTATCATCCATATAAGCCCACACAAACATGTCCACACAGAAGGGAAGAAGAAGAATCAGTCCACATACCCCAGATGAAAATATGGTACCAGTGAGTGTCGCGCACTATCACCATAGCATAAATTTTGTGGTGTGATGTTGTCACAAGACATAAAAGAAAAAACAAAGGAAATCATTTTTTATTTTTAAATGATCCGAAACTCGCAGTTGTAGCCTGTAGGTATAGGGTAGCATAATTAAATCATTGAAGTGCTTTCTTAGGTACTTCCTTGCATCATTATGTGTGTGGTGAAAACCGCTCTAACGCCTCTGCATTTTGCTTTTTTTTATTTGCCCAAATGTCTATCCATTGGCTCAAGTGGCCTCTGCTCTGCATTTACTCCTTTTTTTTTTTTTTTTTTTTACCTCACAAACTTCACAAAGAAAAAAACTGCAAGAACTGTTACCTTTTCCTGGGCAAGGAAGGCAAAAGAAAAAAAAAAAAAGAAAAAAAAGAAAGGCATTGTATTGACAGGCAGTCAGGGGAAATCCCTCACAAAGGTCTAACTGTTTTGTAGCAGTTCAAAGAAAGATGAGCCTCTGCATTGATTCCAAGCAATCCATTTTTCCTCAAATGCTTCCCAGAAAAGCATATCTGAAGATTCTGAACTGTCAAAAAAACTTAAAAAAAGGATTAAAATTTAAAAATTAAAAAAGAAAGAAAAAGCATAACCGTAAATTCGTGCCCATAGCACTATATGGGAGCTTGGCATGCTGAGAAGTCTTAACACACCTTGGGCCAAAGTCAACTGACGAGAGTCGCACACCGAACTTGATCAACCGATCATATCTGCCACCGGTTTTCACACTCCATTTATTCCAAAATGAAATAAACGGCAATGGGAGTATTTGCTCACGTTGCGCGACCTGCCGTGGAGTAAGCACTTGACACAAATTGCAACCCAAACAAATTGCAATGTTTGAGAAAAAGGTACAGTGTGCTGACTGCCAGTTGTGGAATAACCACAACACTGAAAAGGTACAGTGGTACACACATTGCCATGTCAACATCAATTGCAACCCCAGCAAAAAAAGGCCTCAACTCAGACACAACAGTGTAATCTCTCTCTCTCTCTCTCTCTCTCTCTCTCTCTCTCTCTCTCTCTCTCTCTCTCTCTCTCTCTCTCTCTCTCTCTCTCTTAGCCCAT